GCACTATTTTGCTTTTAATGTCGCCGTCATTCTGATCTTCACTCTGATCACTATCGTAGCCGTTATCATCCGGTAATGCGGCTACGTCCTCATCATCATCATCATCATCATCATCATCATCATCATCATCATCATCATCATCATCATCATCATCCATGATATCCTCAAAATTCACTTCTTCGTCGATTATTTCGTCTACGATGTCCATGAAGTCTTCTTCTTCTAGTATATCACGAATAATATGCACTAAATTTTCCATCGATTACTGAGTACACTACACTATACGATATAACTTTAAGGAAGCTCGCTTCTAGACTGTACACTTCTAAACCCAAAATTCATACTATCCCTTCTCTTCAACTGGAGTAGGTATCCTTTTTTTTCTGATTTTTTTCAGGAATGCTTCAAAATTATATCCTCATGAACTTAAGAAATTTTAAAATTCTAGAGTTTCACTTAAAGTGTTTTACTTAGAATGTTTCAATTCCTTTTGTCTCATATACAAAAATACAATTACCGATTTTTTAATAGCAGCCAGATGTCGGCGCTCGAAATATCGATCATTTCTACCGCGACCAATCTTTACGTACTTATCTTAGGCATGCTTCTCTCCTCATAAGAATTTATGAAAATACAATTCTATCGAGTTTCATCTACATTTACACCTCTACTAACCTTGAAACATATTGCAAAAACATGTTCGATTGTCATGTCCCTTCTAAAAAGAATAAACGATCGAGGCTCTTTTATCAAGGGAGACATTACGTTTCAATATCATCGATTTCGATAGCAGCCAGATGTTGGCGCTCAATCGATTAATTATGAAACTTGATCGTATTTAGGTATTTAAAATAATTAATAAATGTTGTATCTAGAAAAATTACATTACGCTATATCTTGATCGAAAAACCGTTGGAGCATATACCGGCGAATACCTTTTGCAAAACTTTTCGTTTTATAACTATCTGTTTTTTTTGTATTGTTTTTGTTTATGGCAATATTTTCCTTTTTTGTGATATTTTTTGTTGTCCTGTACGTGACTATAGCCCCCCAAATCTGGGATGCCTTACTGCATGAAGTCATACCCCGCCACCGAAGAATTCCCCGCGCCCCGCATTCCCCTCGGAGTTCCCGAGTTAGAACTCTCATAGCATTACTACTGCCGTGGAACTGACTAATCGCGTTTGCTGTTTGGTGGAATTGACCACTTATAGTTGACACTTATGGTTGATTCGGCTTAATCGGGTTGATGAAACCGGTCCTTTGTATATAGGTAATATTACTTTACTATAATGATATGTATCATTCATATAAACGATTTGATATCAACAAAATTTGCGCCGAGTTAAATTCCTCGAAATTTTATGTATCGATCGTAAAAAAGATCTGATATCAACAAATAGCGTCAAGTTAAATTCCATGTAATTCGGAACCAAATTAAATAAATAATATTAACTTTAATGATATGTATCATTCCTATAAAGGAGTTTGATATATTAAGAACTGGCGCCAAGTTAAATCCCATTTCTTTATTTACTTAGTCCAAATAATACTACCTTTAATTTTTATACAATGAAACCTAAGTATACGTATATCTTTTTTTTATTGAAGGATCTTCCAATCCAAATGGTTTAAATTTCTCTTAAATGAAATTATTATATCACAATACGCACGCACGCACGCACGCAAAGACATTTTCTCTTCCAACTAAAGTAGTGGTTATTTAATTCTCCTTTAAAATAATATACAAAATGTTATCACAAAATTGCGTTACCTTGCTCAATTTATGTGTTATCACAAAAATTAAAAAGTTAACCGTATAAAATGAAAACATTTAATTTAAATAACAAAATTTTTTATGTAAAAACACTTAGCGCTGCTAGATCGAATAAGAAAAACTATAAAAACAGTTTAAAATTAGAATAGTAATTAATAAATATAAAAATTAAAGGTAGTATTAAAATTGTAATTTAAAAGTAATAATAAGAGTAATATATAGTAAATTTAATCTTAATTTTACACTGAAAAAGAATAAATTTTACTATTTATTTCTTTTTCATAACGCATGTTTATAAATATAAATTTATTTTGCTCAGACTTAAACTTAATTAGTATTCACAACGTTCATAATGTACACGACTCTATAATTCAATCGCATATAGACACATTAGATATTTTAATTCTCATTGGGAATGCTTCTTATTTTCCTTATTTTTTTAAATATTCATATTTTTTTAATATAAATATTTAAAAAAATAAGAAAAATTTTCTAATTTTCCTTATTAATATGTTATTTTTCTAAATATTACATTTTTTAAGTATAACATTCTTATTTTTCTTATTTTTCTAAATATTACATTCATATCTTAGTACTATGTTATTACATCGAGATCGAGATCTAGCAGCGCCAAATGTTTTTACATGAAAAATTTTTCTATTATATTTAAATTAAATTTTTTCATTTTATACGGTTAACTCTTTAATTTTTTGTGATAATACTTAAATTGAGTAAGGTAACGCAATTTTGTGATAACGTTTTGTATATTATTTTAAAGGAGAATTAAATAACCGCTACTTTAGTTGGAAGAGAAAATGTCTTTGTGTGTGTGAGTGCGTGTGCGTGTGTGTGTGAATGAATTGTGATATAATAATTTAATTTAAAAGGAATTTAAACCATTTGAATTGGAATAGGAAAATCCTTCAATAAGATATACGTATACTTAAGTTTCATTGCATAAAAATTAAAGATAGTATTATTTGGATTAAGTAAATAAAGAAATGGGATTTAACTTGGCGCCAGTTCTTGATATATCAAATCCTTTATAGGAATGATACATATCATTAAAGTTAATGTCATTTATTTAATTTGGTATCCGTATTACGTGGAATTTAACTTGGCGCCAATTATTGATATCAAATCTTTTTTACGATCGATACATAAAATTTTGAGGAATTTAACTTGGCGCAAATTTTGTTCATATCAAATCTTTTATATGAATAATATATATCATTAGAGTTAAGTAATATTATATACAAAGGACCGGTTTCACCAACTCGATTAAGCCAAATCAACCATAAGAGTCAACCATAAGTGGTCAATTCCACTAAACAGCAAACGCGATTAGTCAGTTCCACGGAGAATTAAGTAATTGGCATTGGTGAAACCGGCCCAAATAATTTTTACGAAAAGCACGCACGCTTAGCGCATTTTTTTCCCTTTTTTTTTATTTTATACTCAATGTTTAACAAAATTTTTAATTCTTGTAATGTTCCTATTTTGTAAATTAACGTGCTACGCTTGGAATAATTCATTGTGATCTATTGGGACGGAGGTTAGTCATTTTGCTAAAGAGTGAGGAAATAATTTTGGCAACTCTCAACCAGACAATAGTGACATGTTCATCCTTGGTCTCATTTAAAATATATTTCCAACATTTGCGGACTAAATTTTTGTAAAGACATCGATGAAAATTATTCACAACTTGCTGATAATGGTTTGAAGTAAACCAAAACGTCCAAGAAATTTGTATCCATACTCATAGGGGATTTATATATTATGTGAATATTATTTGAATTTTAGAATAATTTTGCGCACTAATTTCTGCGCTATATTAACGCTCTCATTGCCCGTATACTTTATTATTATTATTATTTTTAATTATTAGTTGAACACCATAGATAATGCGGCACTTTTTATACACCCTGTATAATGTCAAAAATAATAATAATTTACAGATTCTTGCTAATTCTAACAAGAAAACTAAAGAGGCAAATGAGAGTTAGACACGGTTAATGAAGTGCAATTAACAATATGTATACCTAAAAAGTTACATTTGTCCTGACATTTCGGCTCTTCTCCGAGCCATCCTCAGAGAGTTGTCAATGATGAATTATAAGGTATTTGAAACTCGAACTTGGAAAAGACAGAACACATCATTGACAGATGTATAATAAAAAATATTTTTAAATTCTTTACCTGGTTTTATATTTTAAATTTTCTTGTTTTATATTCAAGTGCACGATACTCATTTATTTGCCAATAATACATTCTACTTTTTCCAAGTTGAAGTTTAGAATACCTTATAATTTATCAACATTCACTGAAGATGGTCCAGAGGAGAGTCAAAATAAATAAATGTATAAATAAATATAATATTTTAACACAAATATATTGTAAATTGCACTTCACTAATCATGCACGATTCACACCTGTCTGCTTAGTTTTTGTTATCAGAAAAATATTCAAGACATAATAGACACACACATACAATATAGAATCACATTTGGATAAAATACAAATTTCAATACATAATTGCGAAACTGTGTTATATTTACCTGTGAACCAACAGACCAATCAAGAAAGGTGCTGGCGGTAAAATAATCTTTTGTAAGCATTGCAATGTTTGACGAATAAAAAGAAATCCCACATGCTCGCGTGAACCTAATAATAGGTTGGTACTTTGATATACTGAGAAGCCGAGTTCCGTCACTGTATTACCTAGAAAAGCAAACTCGAAACAATTAGTTGCAATCAAAGTATGAATATTACTGTTATTAAGATATCGATTATTATAGATGCGTTCGAGGAAACGCTATTAGCGTTATTTGTGTCATTTTTGTTTTACGTCTGATAAACGACAAAGATAATGGCACTAATCTCAAATAGCACTAATACCATTTTCCTGAACATACCTTTTATATATACAGGGTGTTTGAAAATTATCGGTTAATCGATCACGAGCAGGTAGAACGGACCGAATTGAATCGAAAAATCTTATACCATTTTGTAGGTTGCGCAATAGTTAACGAGATATTAACACGTCTATTAAGCTGACACAGCCACTTCAGCACAATCGAACGAAATCTACACAGAAATTTAGTGCTTTTTTGTTGCTAATTTGTTGCTCAATTCCCGATTTTGTTGCTCCAGCCAATTCCGAGAAAACAATGGCTGTGCTAACTTAAGACTAAAGTTAGCACAGCCACATAAAAAAAAATTTTTTAAATAAAAAATTACACATATTCTTTTTGTGCTAATTTGTTGCTAATTTGTTGCTCAGTTGCCGATTATGTTGCTCCACCCCCGACCCTTGAAAACCACCCCAAGCAACCCCGAGTTAGCACAACACCTCTAAATTGTAAATTATTGAGATATCTCGATTGATTTTGCGTCTCCGATTTTGTTGCTCACGATTTACGATAAATCTGATTTTGTTGCTCCACCCCCGACCCTTGAAAACCACCATTAGCAATTCCGCATTAGCACACCACCTATAAACTGTAAATTATTGAGATATCTCGATTGATTTCGCGTCTCCGATTTTGTTGCTCACGATTTGCGATGAATCCGATTTTATTGCTCCACCCCCGACTCTTGAAAACCACCCTTAGCAATCCCGCATTAGCACACCACCTATAAACTGTAAATTATTGATATCTCGATTGATTTCGCATCTCCGATTTTGTTGCTCACGATTTGCGATGAATCCGATTTTGTTGCTCCACCCTCGACCCTTGAAAACCACCCTTAGCAATCCCGCATTAGCACACCAGCTATAAACTGTAAATTATTGAGATATCTCGATTGATTTCGCGTCTCCGATTTTGTTGCTCAGGATTTGCGATGAATCCGATTTTGTTGCTCCACCCCCGATCCTTGAAAACCACCCTTAGCAATTCCGCATTAGCACACCACCTATAAACTGTAAATTATTGAGATATCTCGATTGATTTCGCGTCTCCGATTTTGTTGCTCACGATTTGCGAAGAATCCGATTTTGTTGCTCCATCCCCGACCCTTGAAAACCACCCTTAGCAATCCCGCATTAGCACACCACTTATAAACAGTAAATTATTGAGATACCTCGATTGATTTCGCGTCTCCGATTTTGTTGCTCACGATTTGCGACGAATCCAATTTTGTTGCTTCACTCCCAACCCTTGAAAACCACCCAAAGACAATTTCATTATTTTAACCGCATATGTGAAGCAACAAAATCAGAGAAACATAATAAATCAAGATATCGCAATAATTTACAATTAAGTATTGTGATAACTCGGGGTTCCTTGGGGTGGTTTTCATGGGTCGGGGGGGGAGCAACAAAATCGGATTCATCGCAAATCGTGAGCAACAAAATCGAAGACGCGAAATCAATCGAGATATCTCAATAATTTACAGTTTATAGGTGGCGTGCTAATGCGGGATTCCTAAGGGTGGTTTTCAAGGATCGGGGGTGGAGCAACAAAATCAGATTCATCACAAATCGTGAGCAACAAAATCGGACACGCGAAATCAATCGAGATATCTCAATAATTTACAATTTAGAGGTGTTGTGCTAACTCGGGGTAGCTTGGGGTGGTTTTCAAGGGTCGGGGGTGGAGCAACATAATCGGCAACTGAGCAACAAATTAGCAACAAATTAGCACAAAAAGAATGTGTAATTTTTTATTAAAAAAATTTTTTTTATGTGGCTGTGCTAACTTTAGTCTTAAATTAGCACAGCCATTGTTTTCTCGGAATTGGCTGG